ATGAAGGCAAAAATAAAGATGTTTTTTGAAACCAATGAGAACAAAGACACAACATACCAGAATCTCTGGGACACATTTAAAGCAGTGTGTAGAAGGAAATTTATAGCACTAAGTGCCCACAAGAGAAAGCAGGAAAGATCTAAAATTGACACCCTAACATCACAATTAAAAGAACTTGAGAAGCAAGAGTAAACAAATTTAAAAGCTAGCAGAAGGCAAGAAATAACTAAGATCAGAGCAAAACTGAAAGAGATAGAGACACAAAAAACCCTTCAGAAAAATCAATTAATCCAGGAGCCGGTTTTTTGAAAAGATCAACAAAACTGATAGACCGCTAGCAAGACTAATAAAGAAGAAAAGAGAGAAGAATCAAATAGATGCAATAAAAAATGATAAAGGGGATATCACCACCGATCCCACAGAAATATAAACTACCATCAGAGATTACTATAAACACCTCTACACAAATAAATTAGAAAATTCTAGAAGAAATGAATAAATTCCTAAACACATACACCCTCCTAAGACTAAACCAGGAAGAAGTTGAATCTCTGAATAGACCAATAACAGGCTCTGAAATTGAAGCAATAATTAATAGCCTACCAACCAGAAAAAGTCCAGGACCAGACAGATTCACAGCCGAATTCTACCAGAGGCACAAAGAGGACCTGGTACCATTCTTTCTGAAACTATTCCAATCAATAGAAAAAAAAGGGAATCCTCCGTAACTCATTTTAGGAGGCCAGCATCATCCTGATACCAAAGCCTGGCAGAGACACAACAAAAAAAGAGAATTTTAGACCAATACCCCTGATGAACACCGATGTGAAAATCCTCAATAAAATACTGGGAAAGTGAATCCAGTAGCACATCAAAAAGCTTATCCACCATGATCAAGTTGGTTTCATCCCTCGGATGCAAGACTGGTTCAACACACACAAATCAATAAATGTAAACCATCACATAAACAGAACCAATGACAAAAACCACATGATTATCTCAATAGATGCAGAAAGGCCTTTGACAATATTCAACAGACCTTCATGCTAAAAACCCTCAATAAACTTGGTATTGATGGAACATATCTCAAAATAATTAGAGCTATTTATGACAAATCCACAGCCAATATCATACTGAATGGGCAAAAACTGGAAGCATTCCCTTTGAAAACCGGCACAAGACAAGGATGCCCTCTCTCACCACTCCTATTCAACATAGTGCTGGAAGTTCTGGCCAGGGCAATCAGGCAACAGAAAGAAATAAAGAGTATTCCGGTAAGAAATGAGGAAGTCAAATTGTCCCTGTTTGCAGATGACATGATTGTATATTTAGAAAACCCCATTGTCTCAGCCCAAAATCTCCTTAAGCTGATAAACAACTTCAGCAAAGTTTCAGGATACAAAATCAATGTGCAATGTAAAGGACCTCTTCAAGGAGAACTACAAACCACTGCTCAACGAAATAAAAGAGGACACAAACAAATGGAAGAATAATCCATGCTCATGAATAGGAAGAATCAATATCATGAAAATGGCCATACTGTCCAAAGTAATTTATAGATTCAATGCAATCCCCATTAAGCTACCAATGACTTTCTTCACAGAATTGGAAAAAAACTACCTTAAAGTTCATATGGAACCAAAAAATAACCCACATTGCCAAGACAATCCTAAGTCAAAAGAACAAAGCTGGAGGTATCACGCTACCTGACTTCAAACTACACTACATGGCTACAGTCACCAAAACAGCTTGGTACTGGTACCAAAACAGAGATATAGACAAATGAAGCAGAACAGAGCCCTTAGAAATAACACCACACATCTACAACCATCTGATCTTTGGCAAACCTGACAAAAACATGCAATGGGGAAAGGATTCCCTATTTAATAAATGATGCTGGGAAAACTGGCTAGCCATACGTAGAAAGTTGAAACTGGATCTCTTCCTTACACCTTTTACAAAAATTAATTCAAGATGGATTAAAGACTTAAATGTTAGACATAAAAACCCTAGAAGAAAACCTAGGCAATACCATTCAGGACACAGGCATGGGCAAGGACTTCATGACTAAAACACCAAAAGCAATGGCAACAAAAGCCAAAATTGACAAATGGGATCTAATTAAACTAAAGAGCTTCTGCCCAGCCAAAGAAACTACCATGAGAGTGAACAGGCAACCTATAGAATTTTTTTTTATGTAATTGCAATGTACCCATCTGACAAAGAGCTAATATCCAGAATCTACAAGGAACTCAAATAAATTTACAAGAAAAAAACAACCCCATCAAAATGTGGGCAAAGGATATGCACAGTTTTCAAAAGAAGACATTTATGCAGCCAACAGACACATGAAAAAATGCTCATCATCACTGGTCATCAGAGAAATGCGAATCAAAACCACAATGAGATACCATCTCACGCCAGTTAGAATGGCAATCATTAAAAAGTCAGGAAACAACAGATGCTGGAGAGGATGTGGAGAAATAGAAATGCTTTTACACTGTTGGTGGGAGTGTAAATTAGTTCAATCATTGTGGAAGACAGTGTGGCAATTCCTCAAGGATCTAGAACTAGAAATACCATTTGACCCAACTATCCCATTATTGGGTATATACCCAAAGGATTATAAATCATGCTACCTACTATAAAGACACATGCACATGTATGTTTATTGCAGCACTATTCACAATAGCAAAGACTTTGAACCAACCCAAATATCCATCAATGATAGACTGGATAAAGAAAATGTGACACATATACATCATGGAATATATGCAGCCATAAAAAAGGATGAGTTCATGTCCTTTGCAGGGACATGGATGAAGGTGGAAACCATCATTCTCAGCAAACTATCACAAAGACAGAAAACCAAACGCCGCGTGTTCTCACTCATAGGTGGGAACTGAACAATGAGATTACTTGGACACAGGGTGGGGAACATTACACACCGGGGCATGTTGCAGGGTGGAGGGCTTGGGGAGGGACAGCATTAGGAGAAATACCCAACGTAAATGATGAGTTGATGAGTGCAGCAAACCAACATGGCACATGCATGCCTATGTATCAAACCTGCACATTGTGCACATGTACCCTAGAACTTAAAGTATAATTTAAAAAAAAAAAAATACTTTTGCTAGTGGAGCCACAAATGAATTGAAGTAGGTAGCTTAAAAAAAAAAAGTCTGTTAAGAGGGTGAAAAGAAAAGCAACTGGGAGAAAATATTTGCAGACTACATATCTAACAGGAGACTAACATCTAGAATGTATAAAGATCTCTTGAAACTGAACAGAAAAAAAATGAAGGATCCAATTAGGATATGGGGAAAAGACGTGAGATGCATTTCACTGAAGAGAATAGATAGGTGGCCAGTAAGCTCATGAAAAGGTGTTCAACAGTATTAGCCATTATGGAAATGCAAATTAAGCCAAGTAAGTTATCACTACACACTTATCAAAGTAGTTAAAAATAAAAAATAGTGACAACCCTCAATACTGGCAAGAACACAGAGAAACTGATCACATTGCTGGTGGAATACACAGTGGTACCCCTCCTCTGGCAAATAATTGCGCAGTTTCTTAAAAAAAACAAACATGCAACTACCATACAACCCAGCATATGAACTCTTCAAAATTTATCCCAGAGAAGTAAATACTTACGTTTACCAAAAAACCTATATGTGAATGCTCAGAGTAGCTTTATTCATAATAGCCAAAAACTAGAAACAGCATAGATATCCTTCAACAGGTGAATGGTTAAAAAAAAAAAAAAAAGTGGTACCTCTATACCACGGAATACTGCTCAGCAATAGAAAAAACACAAACTGATTGCTTCATGCAAAACCTGGAGGACTCTGCAGAGCATTATGCTGAGCAAAAACAGGTCAATCTCAAAAGGTTCCATTCTGTACTCTACCATTTATATGACATTCTTGAAATGACAAAATTATGGAAATAGAGACCAGATTAGTGGTTACCAGGGGCTACAGAGTGGGTGGGAGCATGAGGGCATAGGATGTGGCTATAAAAAGGGAAGCTGAGAGGACCCTGTGACGATCTGTTCTGCATCTTGGCTGCATCAATGTCAATGTGCTGATCATACTAAGATACTGTACTATAGGTTTGAAGAAGTTAATATTGGGTGGAAGGGACTAGGTAAAGGGTATACAGGATCTATCTGTATTATTGTCCACAACTGCATGTGAATCTACAGTTTTTTCAAAAAGTTTAATTTTTTAAAATAACTATTCTTAGCTTTCCATCTGTTCAAAAGCAGGTGGCAGGCTGGATTTGGCCCACAGGCTGTAGTAGTTTATAGAGTTTAGTGCAAACACCAAGAAACACTGTATGTTCATTCAATGGTGTTTTAAATGCTAAAACTACAGAGATCCAAACAGAGAGGTCCTCAAATGCGTTTTCAGTCATTTGGTTCTTATAATTACAATAGTGGTTTCTCTACAGGGACAATGTCCATCCCAATCCTAATTGGGAGGGGATAGGAGCAGTGGATACGTAACCTCTAGATTTGGAATATTCAAAATCCTCTTTGTCTTGTTTTAATACCAGCACCGTGAGTTCACCTTCTCCAGTTATATGCTTCATGGAAGCTTGTGTGTTTTATTCAAACGTGTTGCAGTCCAGGTAAATATGATTGTTCTCTGAAAAGGAGTTCTGTTTGAATTGCTTACATTGGTTTTAACTTTCTCAGCCTTTTCATTCACAATCTGTTTTGGCCACTGTGCAGCAGAAAAACAAATTTTAAACCATATTTAAAACATGTATATTCACATTCACATTAGGAAGTTTATTTTGATCCAAACAGCAATCATTATTCAGTCATTCAGTATGGTCTCTGTTTCCTTTGCATCGCTATTTAATGTTTCCTTATGTTGGCTTCTGTCTTTTAAAAAATATATCATGATCCTTAGCCATCTGCTTGTATTTAAAAGCGGTACACTAAAAAGCTCTGTGCCCATGGGTAGGCTCAGTGGAATTTTACTAACCTGGAGGAGCTTTACTGGAATCCAAATAGATTTCTTTGGGTAGCCGTCAATGTTAGTGTCTTTAGGTCTTTTCTCTTGGATCTGTTACATTTCTCAAAGAGGCGGCTTCTACTTTTCTGTCTGAAGGGCATACTCTTCCTTGCCACATTCTGGGGGGCCAAGTGGGGAAAAAAAAGGTTGAGGATCTCAGCATTCGATATGTGTATTACTTGAGCACATATTTTTCGTACAAGACTTCTTCCTTCAACTGTACCTGGTGCCTTCAGCCAAGAGACTCTGTGTTCTACTCTCTCTTGAGAATGAATCACCTGCCTTCTGCCATGGTTGGGGAAAGAATCTGGCAGTTTAACGAGTTCTTAGACTGACTTTCTACAATCTTTTTTCTAGCTTTACCTTCACAGTCACTTCCAGAATAATCTGGATATACCCATTCCTGAGCTTTGTGGGGATGTGCAGTGCCAGTCGGGCTGCTTTCGAGATTCTCTCACTGCCAACCATAACTCATTGTTCTCAGGGCTGCTAAGACAGTTACCACTCATCCCTTTGCTTTCCATTTTTCAAAATGGAGCTGCTCTTACCTCTGCTCCCTTTCTCTTTATGCTAGTGATAGGGACAAGAGACAGAAATTCTAGGCAAGAAAGGCCGGGTCCCTGGCAAAAACCCCACCCTCAAGCTGAAAAGCCTGAAACCAGGTCCCAAAATGAGAACTTCTATCCCTGCTTTCCTGCTCGAATGTTGCCTTTTCCTGAACTACACAAGGCCCCAACCCTCCCCATCCTGTGCCTATAAAGACCCCAGACTCAGCCAGCAGAGAAGTAGCTGGACGTCAGGACTACAGCTGGATGTCGGACAGAAGCAGCTTGACTTTAGATGGACAGCTTAACGGCATAGCTTCAAAGAAGAATACAGCTGGAGACAGCCAGACTTCAAAGGAAGATTACCTTCCGACCCGTTTTGGCTCCCCTTCTCACTGAGAGCCACTTTCATCAGCAATAAAATCCCCCACATTTACCATCCTTCAATTTGCCCATGCAACCTCATTTTTCCTGGACAGCACACAAGAGCTCAGGAGCCACAAGTGCAGATACAAAAGGCTGTCACACTGGCCCTTTGCCCTTGTTGGTGAAGGGCAGCCACCTCATGTGATGAGGCAAAGGGCCCACTGAGCTGTTAACACTTAAGCCATCTGCAGATGGCACAGCTAAAAGAGCACTGTAATATTCCCTCTGGGGCTTTGGGGGTTACAGGTACTCCAACCTAGACACTGCCACAGGGCCTGCATGGCACCAAAGCAGCCAACCAATTCCAACAGTCACACACTCCAGTTCCCACCTCATTTGCTGATGTGCTCCCTCCTGGGAGGAGTTGAGAGCGGCCAGCTGAGTAAACCAGGCACCCCTGTCATGAGTCTTGCGAAAGGGATAGGGAAATATCTTGCTTCACTAGGAATGTATGTCTTTTTTCCTTTTACTTTACTACGGTTTTACTTTTAGAAGGGAGCATGTATTCAACTCATCATCAACAGAAGTATTTATTCAGCCTGAGCCAACACATAGGAATTGTGCTTGTAAGGGTTTAACATATCTGAGTTTGTCAGCATCTTTCTTTTTTTGAGACAAAGTCTCACTCTGTGGCCCAGACTGGAGTGCAGCGGTGCAATCTTGGTCCACTGCAGCCTCCGCTTCCTGGGTTCAAGCAATTCTCCTGTCTCAGCCTCCCTGAGTTTGTCATCATTCTTATCCAGTTAAGAGCTGGGACATAGGCTCCTCTCCCATGCCTACTTCATGCACATGGACTCAAGTTATTCTGATTGTAGCTAGGATTAGTTCTTATCATTACTATAGGTAATGACAAAGACTCTAAGGCAGGGGCCAAATCCCAAGCCTAACTTGAAGGAGAAAGTACAAGATATCCTTATTTGGATATGAAATCACCAAAGATATCCTTATTTGGATATGGAATCTTCTTCAAAATCCATTTTCTTCTGTTATTTTGTTGTTTTAAATGTTAACAACAGTATTTGGGGCCTATCTTCTCCAGTTCTAGGCTCTCCTAATGCTAGATACTTAATCAGAATCTATCAGGATGCTCCAGGAAGTGGTAGGAGATCCAGCCAGTAAACTCTAAGAACCTTTTCATGTCTAATGTTCTAAAATTCAAATAGGTTTTTTAAGATAGTCTGAAAATCTAACCATGAAATATAGACCTTAATTGCTATGTAAATATGGTCTGGGCTCCATGCAGCAAATTTACATATCAGCAGTAGACTAAATAAGAGCCTCAGGGAGATATTTCCTCGTGGTACAGCAGTACAGTGGGGCAGATGGGGACAATGATGGGCGACAGCAGCTAAGCAGAGCTCCTGGGACCCAGTTCAGGCTGAGTCAACCCATGTGGTGGGTCTATCCAGAGGACATGTCACCCTGCCTAGGTATAGGCCACTCACAAATCCAGGGGAATTTAGGATGGGACATAACACAATGTAATGCATTTCCTCACAGGCCATGGCTGACTTGGAAGTTTGCACGAGGGTAATGGGAATTGGGAGAACTCTTCATATTTATTCGGCTCAACATTTTGGAAAGTTGACAAATTATCTACATATGCATTTATGTATAAAGCAAAGGATTTAGAGCATGCTGCTTTTTAAAAGCTTTGCCAATTTGATAGGTAAAATGGTATTCTATTGTTACTTGAACAGAAATTTTTTGTTTAGAGTTGTACTTTTTTTTTTTCCATGAGCATACTGGTCATTTGCATTTTTCTTTTGTGAATTATCTGCTCTTTCACTTTTTAAAAAATATTTGTTGATATTCTCTTTTAGCTTCTAGGAAAACGAGGTTAACAAGACAGACAAATTCTTTTTGAATCTCATGGAGCTCAGGATTCAGAGGAGGTAAACATACATCAGGTAATTTTTTTTTCTTCTTGTTTTTGAGACAGTCTCACGCTATCACCCAGGATGGAGTGCAGTGCCATGATCTCAGCTCACTGCAACCTCTGCCTCTCAGGTTCACGCGATTCTCCTGCCTGACTCCCAGGTAGCTGAGATTACAGGTGCACACCACCACACCCGGCTAATTTTTTGTATTTTTAGTAGAGAAAGGGTTTCACTATGTTGGCCAGACTGGTTTTGAACTCCTGACCTCGTGATCCACGCACCTCAGTCTCCCAAAGTGCTGGGATTACAGATGTGAGCCACCGCACCAGACCAGTAAATAATTTTCGTAAATGTTTCTGAAACTTGAAAAAACATACATAGCCTCTGTTTTTAGGAACAGAGTTTGATATGTATGAGTCAGATATACTTTTTTGTCTTCTAAATCCTTATCTTTTATTTACTTGCTCCAACAGCAAGTGGTAGGAGATCCAGCCAGTAAACTCTAAGAACCTTTTCATGTCTAATGTTCTAAAATTCAAATGGGTTTTTTAAGATTGTCTGAAAATCTAACCATGAAATATACTTGCTCCAACAGCAAGTAAATAAAAGATATGGATTTAGAAGACTCAAAGTCTCCAATCACTAAAGTCTCCAATTACTAATACATTTCTATCACTTTTTGTATTTCCTGTAATGTCTGTTAACTAAGATAAATTTGGTCATTTTGTACATATTCATAATTTCTAGATCTTCATTATAAATTATACACTTTACTTCACAAAGTGCCCTTTATCTCTTTTATGCTTTTTGCTCCCATTCAACTTTATTTAATAGTAAGGTTGTAACCACTGCTTCCTCTTTGTTTTCCTGACAATTTCCTGTTTGTAGATACATATTTAAAGCTATGAATTTTCTCTGATCTCTGCTCTAATGGTATTACTTTTTTCTAGATGCATCACTGATACACTTTTGTCCATATTTTTACTTTCAACTGCTTTGAATCACTTTAAGGTATATCTGTTTTATAAGATGTGCATTAGGTTTTCCTTTATATTCCAATTTAAGTCTTTTTTCTTTGAATAAGTATATTCACACCATTTTCACACATATGACAGCTATGTTTGGTCTTGCTTCTGTCATATTTTACATTACACTATATCCACCAATGGTTCAAAATAACTTCCAATGTATATATAACTTTCAATATACCTAACTTCCAATGTATATAGAAGCTGTATAGCTTGTGTTTCCTTCACTCATGTATGCTGTCATGATTTGATAAGTTTTTATTTTGTCTTAGTTTTTCCTAATGTTACCGGGGGGTCCTTGCTCCCAGAGTTCCCAAGATGGTGGCCGGCTGCTTCCAAAATGGTGGTGGGCCACTTCCAAGATGGTGGCAAGCCTCATGTTCTCTGACCTGGGGTTCTTGGCCTCATGGATTCCAAGGAATGGAATCTTGGGCCATGTGGTAAGTGTTATAGCTCTATTAGAAGCCGTGGGTCACAGAAGAGAACCGTGGAACCCAGAGACTAGTGTTCAGCTTGATTAGTATGAACCCAGGCACTTAGCCATGCAGGAACAATGGCAAGCCTTTAGACCGATCAGGAGCGGCAATGGGTGCCTTGCTGGATCAGGAGCACAGCAGACACCCTGCCAGATCCCGAGGGATGAAAGTCAGCCGCGGGTCTGCGACAGAGAGCAAAGCTCAGCTCCAGCCATAACAAACACGGACCAGAAGAATGCAGTTGCAAGATTTAATAGAGTGAAAACAGAGCTCCCATACAAAGGGAGAGAACCCAAAGGGTGTTGCCATTGCTGGTTCGAATGCCTGGGTTTATATCCCGGATCATTGTCCCTCCCACTGTGCCCTCAGGCAACAGATGATTGGCTATTTTTTACCTCCTGTTGTTGCCTAATTAGCATTTTAGTGAGCTCTTCTTATTATCTGGTTGTGTGTGAGCTAAGTTGCAAGTCCCGTGTTTAAAGGTGGAAGTGGTCACCTTCTCAGCTTGGCTTAGGGATTCTTAGTCGGCCTAGGAAATCCAGCTAGTCCTGTCTCTCAGTCCCCCATCTCAACAGGAAAACTCAAGTGCTATTGGGGAGGTTGGCCAACTGCTCTAACTGCTTCCTGCTGAATTTGGGCATAGTAGGAGTGGTACAGCTGAGATTTTCTTGGGATGGGTGGCTTCGATGTCATTAACATCGGAGCATGAGCTAGCAGGCCGGTCCAGGGGTCTGCAGTACATCTTAGTCATGGACTGCAGCTGGGGCTCCATTTGAAGAACAATTTGTAGTTTTACAGCTTTGATTCTGGAAGAGACAAACTTAACAAGGAGGTTAAAGATACAGGGATTGAAATGTATGGCCTGCAGTGCAGGAGATTATTTCTTTGGCACACTTCACAGGGCCTGACTATCTGCTTGATAGTTTTGAAAAGGCCTGGTCCAGTAAATAATAATTTGGCCATCTGATGGGTGCTATCAATGCCTAAGTGAAAGGTTTGGTGAAGGATTTTAAGTAATTTCCATTGGTTAGCTGCAGGCAAGCGTATCTTTCTTTCTTTGGTGGCTAGCTATCCTGAGAAGAGAAAACTATGTCCTCATGAGGTTCCCCATTCTATTTCTCCTGCTGAGTATTGGGGCTTGGTTTCCCAGAGGGGATTAGCCCATACTAGGGGTCCTTCTATAAGCATTTCTAATGGAGGGTCCTACCTTGTGGCTCTTTGGGCTTCAATATCTGTTTGGTGGTTCCCTTCTATTTCCCTTTCCTTTCCTTTCTGATGGCCCCAGCAGTGTACGACTGCCACCTCTTTAGGTTTCTGTACAGACAATAATAATCTCCTAATGGCTTCCTGATGTTTGATAGGTGTTCCCTCGGAAG